TGTCACCCGACCCGACTCAACATCTCCACAATCACCAGTGACACCATGGTAAGAATAACACTTTGATGTGTGTGTACCTATATGCTCATAATTACATTTTCAGAAGCGGAAACATAATATTCCAAGAGATATTTGTCACGCCTGGTAACCTGTATTTCACACCAGCACCAGCACCTGCTGGACAAAACCTACCCTATTGTAACAGTAGATCACTCAATTGATGAGTTTAGTGTCAAAATCAGTTAGGCCTATATTTAATATTATGATTATTGGTTGTTCTGACAAACATTCAAAGAAAATTCAGGTAAACTATTTATAATCTAGCATTAGGACATCTTTTGCAAAAATGTTTACAAACTAAAAAGATTTGAAATGTCAAAAGTATAATTAATTATTAAACACAGTGGGTTGTTGAATTGAGTGGACCAGAAATATGTAAAATGTTTACAAAAAGTTCATTTTCTGTCACTATCAATATATAAAAATTATCCAAAATACTATAATTAAAACTTGTTGAGAATATATACAAAATATTTGTAACTGTAAAAAATTTATTTTTAAATTCGGACCTCTGGACAAAACTTATTGGGCGAAACATCTGTAAGCACCCCCCAAAACTCTGTCCTAACTGACTGGAAATAATCACATGCAGATCTACCCCATAACCATGATAAGAACTAGGATGATGTTTTTAATAGTTTTTATCGTTCATATATCATGGATGCTATACAGATGTGTGTTCTTAATGTTAAGGGCGGTCGGGTAGCCTAGTGGTTAAAGCGTTCGCTCGTCACGCTGAAGACCCGGGTTCGATTCCCGACATGGGTACAATGTGTGAAGCCCATTTCTGGTGTCCCCCGCCATGATGTTGCTGGAATATTGCTAAAAGCGGCGTAAAACCATACTCACTCACTCACTCACTCTTAATGTTAACATACCTTATATCATGTGGTAAAAATTCAATCTCCATAACAGATACAGTATGTGGTATTGTTTAATTTTGTGTTTTCACTAAACATGCTTAATATGCATTAATTCTGTTATATATGTATATATATATATATATATACTAAAAATATTGAACCATTGTGGTCATTAGGATCATTTATGTAAAATTATGTGATATAATACATATTAAATAATATATTATTATCCTGGTGCAATAATGTTACAGGTGTGCTTGTTGTTACATGCCCTGAAATCTTTGTATAAATTCTTTGCTCAGTGAATGTAATGTAATGAAGTTTCCAGGATTCAAATACTCAAGCAAATTGGAAAGACATGTTTATGTGGTAAGGGAAACCCTAAACCCCACAATCAAGGAATGGGTAAATCATATAATTCTTTGGTGATGTTCACTTCAGCAATCATCTGGAATGGTTTCAGACTAAATAGGTTTTGCAGTTGAAACTACCATCTTCCAGTTCCGATTTATGAAGTATTCAATTAATATTTTATATGAACACATGAAATGATTTTAGAATACATATATGATTTACTTCCGTCAATGACAGAAATTTTCACTTGTTTATTCTAGACTGGAGCAACAATTTGTATTAATTATTGACTTGTCTTTGGTTTTTTTTATTATGCATTTGAAGATCTATCATTCAAAACAAACAAATCTGACAAGTAAAGTACATCTCCAATACCATAAATGTTTATTTGCGAGACAGTTATGTAAACATATGTAACTTGTAAGGTTATTTTATTAAATAAGTGATACTGAATCATGTCCACAATATTTCAATAAGTATTCAAGCCAACAGTAATAAACACACCATGTCAACATGATAGAAAACTATAAAATGTTTTGGTTATTATTGAATTATTAACGTGATATATTTAAGAGAAATTACCGTATGCATATGTCATCATTGTAAATTACTCCTTACAAATGCATCGCAGCGGATTGAATGACACAAATACATATTTAAATGGTATGATATTCTTGTAATGTTTTGTTTTGTAAGACTAAAAAATGACACTTTTCATTTCAGATTCTATCTACACCTTGTAAACCAGATGTTCACTTTTGGGGTTTGCAGAAATAGTTGAAGAATCAGAGGAAAGTTACTGTAAATTTGGACATTAATGAGTCTCCAAATTAATGTGACTGCTGACCCCTACCAAAAATGCGATTCAATATCAATGCGACTCCCCCACCTAATCCCCAGTGGAATGATGCATATCCTTACCTTTATAAGTTTCTGTAATACAGGGTGGGTGATGCTGGATGAGGGAGTGTTAGCAACGGCGAAGGCCGGGGAAAAAGGTTCTGAAGAAAACAGCACAAGCGCTGACTAAATTGCTCAGTGGCCAATTGTTAATGTAAAAGTTGACCATTTCAAAAGTACAGTTCTCTTGATGTCTGAAGCTCTGTACCTCACTGGACACACATATTTTATGAATTGTAGCTCTGCATGAACAAATTTGCACACAATAAAAATGGATCTCAACACCAGGACTTTCTTCTGCTCTCCTTTTCGTGAACACCTGGTATCATCACAATTTGGTGGTGATTCCTTAACACATCTTCATGATATAGTCTCTGTTTTTACTTTCTATGTATATGGAAGGTTTTTGTCACTTTTATTTTCTTCCATATGATCATTCCAGGGACCTGAAAAATAAGACTTTTATTTTGTTGAATTTGTCAAAATAACATGTACACTAAGATATTGTAAAAGTAGGTGGTAATGGTCATCAGGTGTGTAAGGCACGTCATGCTTACTTTAGGCCTCACTGGGTGCCTGAATACAAATGTCATCAGTTTACAAAGCACTAATTGTATCAGATCTATACTTTTATATGTCATCCACACTATCCTTTAATATGTCATCCACATTACACTTCTACATCAAAAGACAATCATGTTACAAGATAGAATATAACAGATCTACAAAATACAGAAATTCCTTGTCCATAGTATTTACATTGTGTGATTATTCATTGTCAAAATATTATTTTGTTACCTCATACTGTGAAGCACGGTGTCCCCATGTTTCTGGTGTACACTGGACAGCGACTGTACACCATGACGTACTGAGGCTCTTCTGGGTACCTGTACCCTCTGGGCATCAGTGTCTGGTAGGACTTGCTTCGACACTACGTATTTGAAAGATACAACATAGAAACATTGACACTTCTGTCATCTATATCTCTCACTATCACAAAATAAAACATGGTAACATTATTTGTTCCAAATATCAATGTACTATAAATTGTATATGTATGTATTTGCATCCAACATGAAATATGAGGACAGACCATTTCATATTCTAGGGTGGTGGGTGGGCTGGGATTTTGTACAGAGACTGGATATTTGGCACCTACAAACCAGCAAAGCCAGATATATCTTTTTAAATAAATAGTATAAGCCTAAATAAATAAACACCATGTTGGAACAATGTATTTTTGTGGCTTTTTGCTTCAACAGTCTGACATATTATAATTATGCATGATTATTAAAGAATATCAATGTGTTTAGATAATATAATTTGTTTCACTGTATCATTATGAAGTTTAATAATTACCAAAATGGGATGATTTGTGTCACCTCCAGCTTTCGCTGCCCTACTAGCTGTGTATGTGTGTGTAACAAGTGAGCTTCATGGCTCGGTTCTTTGGATGAGCTCTCCACATACTGACTGCCCTTGGGCATTGAGGGGTTGTGATTCTCAAAGGGGTTGTGATTCTCAAAGGCATTGTCCCCGCTTGTGAACGAGAATGGTTGTAAAACTAAAAAAAGCCATGGAAATTACTCAACACACAACTTTCTCCAACACAATTACATGAATTAACAGCAGACTGCATTGATCAGCAGATCACTGAGTATCGATATAACCAGGAAGCGAAACCTGTGAACAAGACAATCACGGATATTTATGATATTTTATCTAGAGAAAATATGAAAAAATATTACTTTAATCCTGCTAAAACACATTCCTTAAATACTACTGTGATTTTATCTGTTTAATAACTATACGGCAAACTTACCTGAGTTACTTCAACTTTACGGTATTTGTTTACAAAAACAGCCGAGTCAGGGTCTTGATGAAAATGCTGTCCCTTTAGCCCATTTCAGTGTAAGAAGGGTACACCATCTGCTTCCGATCAGTTTCAGAAACATCTGGTATAATCTCTCGCGTAACATGAAAGCAACCTAGCATGATTTAATATGCACATCACAAATGAACGAATAAGCGCAATTCATACAAAGGACCCTTCCAACAATCGTCGCAAATCTGACGGTATGTTATCCATGAATTATTGTCTTCTCAGTCTTGATTTTGGAAAACTAAATATCTTTAGAGTAATTGTGCTTAGCGTTGTATTTTGAACAGCGCACACTGAACAAAACAGTAAGCTGTGCACCTGAGAAGATATTATCACACACCTGTACCTACACCACATGAAATGGGTCTAATAAAGTCTTTTGACATCATTCCTTTATCAATTGGCACCAGTGACGTGATATTGCAAGGGGCATAAGCCATGGTGTGTTTATTATGGAAATAGAACTCTCAGTAAATGTGAAAAATATGAACCGATTTTATGAATAAAATAATTTAGTTACTGGTGATATTTGTGTTTTTTTGACTATGGAACTACTTGGTAAATACTTTTCATGATGAAAAAGTACAAGAATTTTTTTTTTATTTTTCGTGTGAACTTGCCCTTTAAGGTTGATGCTCAACCACAGGTTTCATTGTTAAAGCTGTAGCTTTGCTTGTAACATGAGAAACATGGAAGTGCTCGTTTTAGTGCAGCTAGAGGCATAGGTCTAAGTTGTACTGTATTTGACAACATCAGGGCTCAAATATGAATTTAGATAGATATTGGTCAGGTGTTTGGTAAAGTCAATATGGTTCCTGACAAATGTTTTGGGTGGGAAAGTTTGGGTGCATTAAGATAAAGGGTTGGGATGCTTCTGTTTTTTGCATGTATAGCAAAAACCTTTCATGTTGAAGAACATTCATTTCCATTATCTTTCCCAGAACAAACTCGCTCGATTCTTGAGGAGTGTCCTACACTGTTCTGCCCAACCAGAGCTATCAGGGATGCTCGAGAAACACTGAAGAAGGAAGGGTCAGTTTTCCTTGTTGGACGATCAGGAGATGGGAAAACATACAGTGCATACCACATCCTCATAGAACTGAAGAAGGAAAACCCATCCTATGAGATATACATTGTGTCCAAACCTGAGGATATGGAGCATATACCACCCAAAAACTCTGTTGTATTTATCGATAATATATTTGGTGCTAGCAGCTTTTCATCTGTTCTTTTTGAAAAGTGGAGGGAGTGTTTTAGATATATGGAGGGTTATGTTAAAGCAGGTCATATGTATTTTATTTCAGCTTCACAAAACCATGTGAGAGATGAGTGCATGAGTCAACTGGACAACCTTCCCTTACTGGCTCACATCATTGATATGTCAGATGAGTATTGTTTAAGTGTTCAAGAAAAAGAAGCCATGTTGACAAAATTCCTGCACCATTATAAGGTCACTATGACTGAAAAAGACAAACAGAAGGCTGTACATTCAAAATTGACTTTAGGCTTTCCTCAGTGCTGTAAGATGTATGTGATGAACCCTGAAGCACAAGCACATGGACCAACATTCTTTGAAGGATCATTCCCCTTTCTCAGCAATCAGATCAAGAAACTGAAGTCAAGTGCAACTGATTGTGATAAACATTTGTATTTGGTTCTTGTAATGGGTATTTTTGAAAAGGGAAAAATATCTTTTGAAAGGTTTGACCCTTTTTCAAAACCAAGTGAATCCCAAATCACTCCTGAAGTCATAATGCAGGTCTGTGGTATTGAGAAAAAGATAACAAAAGATGATGTGGTAAGTGCCTCACACAAGCTGTGTAAAATGGGATACCTAAGATGCATTGAAGTAAATGCCTTGTATGTGTTTTCCCATCAATCTATCTATGATGCTGTTGCTGTCATATTTGGAAAAGTGTACACACAACAGATTATTGACTTATGTCCTTTAAAATTCCTTTTGGAACATACGACAGTTTCAGATGGGAGTCAGGTGGAAAAAATGAGTGTTATAACTGTTAAATCTGAACCTCTCATTAAAAGAATAATAACAGAACTTCAGCGTGGAGAATTCAGTGTATTAGGGCTTAGTGCTCTACAGAAGGAACCATTTGTGACTGAACTCTTTTTTCATGAATTGTTTTCGCAAACAGTAAAGGATGTATTGGACAATTTTCCTATGGCCCAAAAACTTGTGGAATCATATATTCTATACTTTTTAACAGCATCAAAGAAGTATACAATGTTCATGAAGAGGTTTCTAGAGGCGTTAGAGAAATTCCGCAAAGATAAAAGTGTTCAAGATACCGTGTGCTATAGCCAAGTTAGTGCTCTATCAAAGATAAGAAACAGAGCATTGCATCAAATCCTAGAGGGATCTTGCACTGCTGGGGATCTTATAATTTTTGGGAAGGTGTTTTCAATGAAAATGATAGCACCCTGTCAGCAGTGTATTTTGAAAGCAGCTGATAGTCCAGTGGATCATCCTGATATAATGACAAGGCTCCTTTTGAAATTGTCCTTAGAATATGGTACAATGGAAAGAGTTGTAATCTCACTTATTGAGAAAAAAAGACCAAATACACTGAAAAGGATATCTAAATCAATCACATGGAATCTTTTTAGAGGAAAAATAAAACAGAAAAATCTGTTTACATTAGCTTGCTTAAGAGGAGATTTTGAGATGTTTCAGCTGCTCACGGAAATGATTGGACCACCATATTTGAAACAAGACCTTTTGTTTCCAGCTGTAAATGGTGGTAACATGGATATTCTTGAAGCCATAATTACAGAAGACAATGTAAACATTGTGGACACTCATGGTAGAACTATTCTACATCATGCCTGCATGAAAAGGCAAGACCTTTGTGAATTCTTGATTAAGAAGGGAATAGACCAAGAGGTAAGGGACAATGAAGGAGCTCAAGCCTTCCATAGAGCATGTCAATATATGGATGAAAAATCCATTAGCAATCTGATAAATCTTGGATTGAAGGTGACAGTTACAGTTGATGGAAATAAACGGTTGTCTCCCCTACATATGGCTGCTAACAGTGACAAGGGGGCATCCTTGGTTGGACTATTACTGAAAGAATGTTCTGAAAGAAAAGACATGATTAATTTCTCAAATACAGACGGACTGACACCATTACACATTGCAAGCAGGCACCCTCATGGCAGGGACTTTATCATTGAGTTGATGACGAGAAAAGCAGACCATTCACTCAAGGACATGACAGGAAAGACTGCTTTGCACTGTGCAGCAGCAGAAATGATTCTAAGTAACATTGTGGCTCTGATAGATAACAGTGCTAATGTTAATGCTGTTGATAACTCTGAAAGAACACCGCTGCACCATGTTCTTGACAAGAGAATTGAAACCAGAGATGAAATGGAAGCACAAAGAGACTCAGTTGTGCATCTGCTGAAGCATGGTGCAGATGTTTTGCTTGTTGATAAGAATGGGAATACAGCTATGCATATAGCAGGGCTTTGCAACACCCCAACAGAGACATTTAAAAAACTCACTGAAAAGCATGTATCATTTGACCTTAATAATGATGGTTTTTCAGCTCTTCACCTGATGTTTATATCGAATGCATCGGTTGAATTTGTGACACAGTTGGTTGAAAAGTACCCTAAGTTACTTAAAATCAACTCCAAATCTGGAGAATCAGTTCTGCACATTGCCCTATCCAGTTTCGCACCATTTAATATGTTCAGATTGTTGACAGACAAAATTCCTTGTGCAAGAGAATCAGTTGAATGGAAGAATATTAAATTTCAAGCCCTGTTTCGATATGAATCAGAGGAAGTGATTTGTTTCTTGGAACAATGTGCAGAATATTTCCCCAAACCAGCTCCAGCAGATCTCTTGCATTTTCTCTGTGACAGCAATATGTCAGATGAGTCCTGGACACGCGGAATGGATTGTCTAGAAGTGGATAAATCATCCCTTTCTCGAGAGAATGTTCAGTGTCTATTACACAAAGTTTATTCATCAGCAGCAAAGATTGCCTATCTTGTTGAGAACGGGGCGAATGTAAATGCCAAGGACAGTAAGGGAAACACACCTTTACATGTTTCAGCAGCACAAGGAAGTCATGAAGGAGTTGTGGCCCTATTGAAGGCTGGTGCTGACATCAACTTATTCAATGACAATAAAGAGACTGCCCTTCACATGGCTTTGTTGGGTATTGAATTGGATTTTCAGAATTATAACCCATTTACCATAGACCCCATGTTTTTATTCTCAGGTGTACTTGGTGCCCAGATTCATACTGACATGGACATGTGGAATAAGCATTCAAAACTCCTTCTGGAACAGAAGTTCTCAGCTCCTAAGAATGACAGCCAGTCTTTGCTTGAATTACTGGTAGAAGCTGGTGGAAATTTGGATATGACAACAAATAATGGATTTACCTGTCTCCACTTTGCCTGCTTGAGTGGGGATAACATTGCAGTGAGTTACCTCCTTAAGTGCATGTCACCTTGGCTTGCCAATCCTAAGGAAAAGAAATGTGAGGTTATGAAAAAAAGCAAGGGGGTAGATCAAATTGACAGAGAAAATAACATTCTTTTCAAAGAGAGTAATGATGGCATGCTCCCAATACACTGTGCTGTGATAAGTGGTAACCTGGTTGTTGTGAAACTGGTGACTGAAGCTATGAAAGCTGTGGCGGGTAAAAAGCTAGGTAAACATTGTGATACTAGTCAGATTAAACAGACCAAGAAACACAAAACAACATACCGGTATGTACCTGTAACTCCAAGAATGGAGGGTAAAGGTAAACTGGTTAGAGCAAGAAGTCAAGGAGTGAGCCCCTCTACGATTGGAAGTGAACAGTCAAAGACATGCAAGAGTCAATCCACACCAAAACCTGGTTACAGTGATAGTCAACAGCCAAATCTCCAAACGACTATGGTAACTCATGAGAAAAAGAACAAGAAAACACTACTTCAGTATGCTGTTCAATTCAGCACTGTTGATATTATGCAGTTTCTTTTGAAAGAAGGATGGGATTTGAACCAAGCAGATGAGGATGGTAATACACTCTTACATTATGCAGCCAGGTGTAATAGAAGGGAAGTAATGGAGTATTTGATCAAAAAAGAGCTTGATGTTAATTGTTTCAACAAGGAAGGTTTGACACCATTACATGTTGCAACAGAGAGTCATCACAATCAATGGCAATGCATTGAACTGCTACTGGGACATGGTGCTTGTGTCACTGATTCTACACAGAAGGAGAAGAGAAACCTCTTACATCTTGTATGCAAAAACTCACCGGTTTCGCTCATAGCATATAGCATGCATATTCTTGATGTAGAAGTTAAATATTCATTAACATTGATGCCACTACCATGGTTACTGATTGAGAAAGGCTGTGATGTGAATGGCAAAGATGTAGACAACATGACACCTCTCCACTTTGCTGCAGAGGCTAATAACGCTGAGCTGGTTGGCATCCTGCTGGAAAATAATGCAAACATTGATGCTGTGGATATTCAAGGCAGAACACCGCTACATATAGCACTACAAAATTCAACTGCCTTTCATCCTTTCATTCGGTATTCTGCTGCTTTACTTTTAGCACAACAGGATGCTAACCCTCATGCCATCGTCCGCTGTGGCGAGACACCCATTGATATACTGATGGCAATGGACAAAAGTATAATAAAAATGAGTGAAGACTTACAGAAGATCTGCCAGTTGTTTAAGATCAGAGAGGAAGTGAGACCAACCTAAGAGTACCTTCATGCATTGATCTTATTTTACCGCTTTGTTCTTCCAGTCATATTAGAATAATTGTTTCATGACATTTGGGATGTTGTGTTTCTAAGCATTCATGCAGTTTGTCTCCTTTAGAACTCCCAAGACCGATGCAGTGGTTGTTCAGCAGATTGGGATGAGGGTTTGGTGTAATGAGTTCATGATGTTCTCCTCTGTCACTCCCTTTTGAAACTTGCGTCCTTTATCATTATGGACCCCAAAAATAAAAAAAGTAATGTCTTCATTTTATTGAAAAACAGTAAACTACATTTATAATGAAACACGTTTATAACAAACTGTTCTTTTGGTCCCGTCCATTTGCCATATATTTTATCATATAAAGTTGATTGACATAACGAACACCCTCATAAAGGATATAGCGAAATCACCTTGCGGTCACGTCTGTACTCTGTCAACGGTTATATTTAAATGTATAACAAACTGTTAATCCCTGAGCTGAGCTCGTCATGTATCACCAATCTGCCTATCAAAACATCTGAGGTCAAAACGCTGCTTTTCAAATCGTCAATAAACAATTGAAGGAATGATTTACTCTTAAGTGGTGATATCTTGTCCGCAAATTACACCCTCCATTATCAATAGTAGCACATTGATTGAAGTGGATATATTCTGTACATAGCACACTTTTGTTATTTATTGAGTAACATGATGTCAGACATCGTAAAAGATGTCTGAAGGTCGAAATGCGTATAACAAATGACGGATACAACAAACTAAAAATTAGTGGTCCCTTCGAGTTCGTCATAACCGTAGTTTACTGTATATGTATATTGAACATAGCAACTTTGCAAGTTTAGGGCAATTTATGATTGTGGGTTTGAATTCCGGTTCGCCCCTGCCCTTGGGTTTCACAGAAGTGATAAACGTCTTAGACCTGCTTCAATTCTGGCTTTCCTCACCCGTTCAGCTTGAAACGCCATTATATAACTGGAATACTGTTAAAAGTGGCGTTAAACCCAACTCACTAACTCACTCACTCATGGTGTCAATCACTGGACTGTCTGGTCCAGACTCAATTATTTACAGACTGCAGTCATATTGCTGGAATATTGCTGAGTGCTGTGTTAAACAACAAGAAAACACAGAAGGTGAAATTAAAATGTGACACACACCCTATCCCCCTTTGAAAAATCATTATATTGAAGCTTTTAATTTGAAATGTGACATCCCACTTTGAAAAAGCATTATCTTGAAGATAAATACATGTACCTCAAATGTGACACCCCTCTCCCCCTTACAAAATCATTAACTGAAATTAAAAAAATTACATGTTTTATGTACTTTAATCATGGGTAAACTAGGTATGTTGAAACATTCTGCATATCTCCTATGCATAGCAGCAATTTGCAGATTAGATAATATTGTTTCAGCTTATTTTTCATGTGGACATTTGGTCATAACTTTATGTGTATGGTATGCATCCTCATAAATTCAGGTATGCATGTTTGAATGTCTTATAGCATGTTGATATAATCTTAAGCTTCCATGCAGTGTGAATGCTCAAAAACTGTTCAAAAGCACTTTGATTCGCAATGTTTCTAAAGTAACTATAAAATGACAAACTTCATAAGCTGCATAAGTATGGAGCCATGGCAGTCAGGATGGATGATTACATGTTCCTGAAGTGTTTCTGAATATCATCTCCATCTAATTGTTTGGAGTGATCATTTTGTTATGACATTTTGTGCTTGTCTTATATTATATCACCTGTGGACTGCCAAATATGAGATTTCCAATGAGGTGTCTGAGGCAGTGGCTGCATATTCTGTAGTTGTTATAGTGCTCAATACACTTCACACACAGACTCAATATTCAGCACAAAAGCATCCTGACAGTTGCCTCATGATACCATAGTCACACCCAGATGAGAACACTCTCTTGCATTATTATAATATTGTGATATAAAATTAAATTATCTATAAAAAATGGTTCTTTTCAGTGTTGTGGCTTAAGCCTGTGATAATGTTAACTATGTTGTACATATTAGTCTCTTAATATATGCAGCCTCTGTGAGAGGTGGCTCATCATTTTGCTTCGCTGTAGTTTTTTGCGAAAAGAATTATTAGAATGCTGCACATAACTGTCCATCCATTCATTCTTGTTGGCATGTCTGTTAAAGAGCGATTCAATTTATAGTAATGCTTCATGCAATTAGCAATTATCTGGACTAGTAAGCTCACAGATGCTGTGAATGAAGCTTGTTTCAGAAATATAATACATGTAGTTGCTTACACAGATAAACCCATGTAGGTCTCAAAATAGGTCTCAAATATGTATATAGTAGTGAATGTAAATACCTGTAAATATCTTCCCAATATTTAAATAAGTAGTAACATGTTTTACCTCATATTTGACATACTTTATTAATATTCTGAAGTGTTTCTTATCTACACTTTGTTAAACATACTAACCTAATTGTATGTCCTGTGTTTTTATGTATACAATTCAATAACCTGTACATAGTTTGAGTATAGTTTTTAGATGCCTTTGCATCTTAAATCTTATGTTTGTAAAGTCACACATATGTAATGTTAACATGCAAGATCATCATAATAGTTTCATACAAAAGATTTCAGTTTATATTAAACTAGTGATTTAGTAAATATTTAATGAAACAGCAATTGTATAGCTATGCATAGTTCATGATGGCAATGATTGAACAAATACACTCAGGCTACTATTTTATTTGGCTTATGGATCTGCTAACACTAAATACTGAGAATATGGAAAGTAAATGTAAAAAAATATAAAAAATTAGAAATTGTTCATCACTGCTGACCAGAATAAAGAAATAAAAGAATAAAAATATATTTATATATTTGCCATCCAAACTTGCATTTCTCACCCCTCCTTGTCATTTATAACGCAGTTAAAACTAATATGCAGTTCACAGAGAATAAATGTCATGTATCTTTAAGTAGTCTAAAAGAACTAGCTCCATTGTCACAGTTTTAAAGGGCAAAGCTCATATACAGGTGTATGTCATGTCAGAATTCCATATGCCAACTTAATTTTTTTAATTTTTTTATTTCCCCCACCAAGCCTGTTTGTTTTTTAAAACCAATAAACCAAACTAATAAATAAGGAGGCCTTATCTGCTTTGGGTTTTAATTGATATGCTGGTATACACTTGGGTTTGCTATTAGAGGCCATCTTTGAGGTGACATTTGGAGGCTTCAAATACAATTTGATATTGCCTGTATGCTTTGATTTCATATTTTCTTACATTTTCATTGACTTTCACAAAACTTATTTTTTTATGGAATTTCTAAAAACATTTTTTTTATGGCAATTATCCTGGCAAATTGACAGGTGGACAGTTTTGTCAAATCTGCTGCCTAATTAGATGCATTCCTTTCATCAGTAAATATTTGTTTTGTAATGAAATATATTTTTTTAACAATTGTAGAACATTCTCTGAATGCATATATTTTTCTATGTTGATGTTTGTTTTGAGATTGTATATAATGTGATTAAAAGCTCAATGTCATTCAGAAGGTGTTTGTTATTAAGAATGCTTTACATTTTCCAGTGCCCATTTATAATGTTGCACTGATCTGTTATGTCTCCCATTGTCCTGGCAGGAAATAGTGTCAGCATGCCCGTCTGTCTGTAAATGGTTTCCCTAGCATAATGTATAATATTTCGAACATCCATGAAATTACTTTGCATATTTCCTGGATTAAATGCCAGACCTCGAAATAACGCTTGGATTACGATCATAAACGCTGGCCTCCATCGGTATGTTGTACAACTTTTTATGCACAGAATTCTCACCATTATTATTTTTCATGAAATCAAACAATATATTGGAACTACATGAGTACACAAATACAGATGCAAACACAGCAATTGGTGAACTAAATTGAACACATATGCGTGTGCTACGTTTCGTGACGTCAGTGGTTTCGGCATGGGCATGTGCAACATCTTTGTGCATGTGCATCTCGATAAAGTGCATAGAGCACATGAATGTCAAAAACTCTCGATTGGGGAAGCTGATAATTGTTTGACGTTTGATCGTTCAGAAAATTAAACGGCTAATGAACCGCACATCATACCACGACTCACGACTGCACAACGTCATGAGGCTATTGGGATGGTCCTTCGAAGAATGTCTCAACGTCAGGTGACTACGCATTTCCACTGCCACCGAAACACCACTTGAGCACTGTTGTGACATAATCAGAACGATAATGAAGTTGCCGATCGCCCACGCGTCACAACGCCGAGACAGGACAGATGGATAGGGTGACCCATCTCCGGCACAGGTTCCAAGACTGCAGTGACTACTGTTCAGACCATTCCAGGACTTATCCACCCCAACACAGTCAGGAACCGCTAACCCCATTACCGGATACGACCCCATTGTCTCGCCATACGGCCTATCCTGTCGCAAACTGTCAAAGGTGGTGCCGAAATCACGTCCGTCAACCTCGGTTGTGGTGGAGGACTGTTGTTTTTACAGATGAGTCCAGATTTAACATTCCCCGCATTGACGGACATCAACGTGTCTACAGACGCCTTGGGGAGTGTTACGCTCAAGCCTGTATCATAGAGAGGAATCGCTTTGGGGGTGGTTCCGTGATGATTGGGGTGGGATAAGTGCACGTCAGAGAACCCCCTCAGGGCCATTTTACAGGTTTTGGCTACAGAAGTCGGATTCTTGGACCAGTGGCAATTCCGTTTCTTCAACGTCATGGCCCAGGAGTGACATTCAAACAGGATAATGTCCGTCCTCACATGGCTAGGGTTGCTTTGGCTTTTATTCAATACCACAATGTTAGGGCCTTTTTGGCCTGCAGAGTCACCGGGTCTCTCCCCTATAGAGCATGTGTGGGATGAAATGGAGCAATGTCTACTTTTCGGCAGTCTGTCGCTGATATGTTATCACCTTATGTATTAGATAGTGACAGAGACCAGGTTCCACTTAATATCGAGTCTGCGGTAGAAACTTTGGTTGATGTATTTCATATTTGTGCTGAGTCTTGTGGTCTTTTAAAAAAGAAGTATAGTACTGTTTGCCGGACTAAGGATAGTAAGAATTGGTACGATGATGAGTGTATGAAATTAAAAAGACAAAAGTTTAATAAACTTGATCTATTCAGAATCTCAGGAAGTAAGGAACTTTTGAAGGAATATGTTGTAATTAAGAATAAATATAGAGAAATGTGTAGACAGAAGAGATTGAAGCATGATGAACATTGTATAAATGATCTGGTCAATAATAGTAAAAGTGGTAAATCCTTCTGGAGACGCATCAACAATATTATTTCTTCACCTTCTGTGACAGGGAACCCAGGTATTACCAATATGCAGTGGACCGAATATTTCCAGCATGTGTTTAATTTAACTGATATACTTGTGGATGAGGACAATCTAGATGAGGCAGAAACTTTTATGAACAATCATGATATTAATGAGTGCAATTACTGTAATGATGATGTTATGAATAATCTCCTTAATGCTGATATAACTGAAGAAGAAGTATCATCAGCTATACATAACTTGAAACTGGGTAAATCGGCTGGACCGGATGGAATTCTACCGGAAATGGTGAAATGTTGTAGTACTTCAATCATATCATACTTAACTATAGTTTTTAATAGGATTATGCAAAGTGGTGTATTCCCTTACGAGTGGGCAAAGGGTATAGTAGTTCCCCTGCATAAGAAAGATAATATAAATGATGTCAATAATTATAAAGGAATAACGCTGATGGATGTATTTGGAAAGTTGATGACAACAGTATTAAATAATAGACTCAAGACCTTTGCCGACGTTTATGATACAATCCGTGAATCTCAGGCAGGATTCCGAAGCGGATACAGTACAATTGATAATATATTTACATTACAATGTTTAGCACAAAAATATCTCTCTAAACGTCGGGGTAGATTTTATTCTTTGTTTGTTGATTTCCGTAAAGCATTCGATTCGATTAACCGAAATCTCTTGTGGTATTCATTAATGAAAAATGGAATACATGGTCGTTTATTGGTGGTTTTGAAGGATCTATACTCTAAGATTCAGTGTGCTGTCAGGACATCAAATAACTCTCTTTTAGATTATTTCGAATCACTGAGTGGTGTAAGACAGGGCTGCGTGTTGAGTCCTTTTCTGTTCACGATGTTTATCCATGAATTACAGTCAATGATAGAAAGTAGTGATATGCGAGGGATTTTTATTGGAGAGGAGTTTATGGACATATTACTTTTACTATATGCAGATGATTTGTGTATTTTTGATGACACAGTAATAGGTCTGCAAAGAAAAATTGATATTTTATCCAATTTTTGTAAAAAGTGGGGACTTGAAATTAACATGTCTAAAACAAAAATTTTGGTTTTCAGAAGAGGTGGTACTTTAAGGTATGATGAACGATGGTTTTTGAATGATAAACGTATAAATGTAAGTACTTACTATAGTTATCTGGGTGTTCTGTTTTCAAATAGATTGTCTTGGACTAAATGCATTGATACTCTCAAGATAAAAGCCAATAAGGCTTTTTTAGCCATTAAACAATTGCAATTTCACTTTGTAAATATGCCAGTTAACATTTTATTTAAATTGTTTGATATTAAGATAAAGCCCATTCTTCTTTATGGTGCTGAGATCTGGGGCTGCAAAGGTAGTCAAATTGTCGAAACTTTTCATACTAAGTTTTGTAAATTTGTTTTAGCAGTTGGTAAATATGTATCAAGTACGGCAATATTAGCTGAATGTGGAAGAAATGGTTTGCATGTGGATTATCATATGAAGTGTGTTAAATACTGGTGTAAACTGATTAGAATGAATGATGAAAGATATCCCCGACAGTGTTATTTGTTAATGAAGAAGCTGGATGAATGTGGTAGAATTACTTGGGCAACTCATGTTAAATATTTACTCGACATATATGGATTTGGTAATGTGTGGTACGAACAGAATATTGGTGATGTTAAGTGTTTCTTGCAGCTATTTAGACAACGTTTGTTGGATTGCAACAAACAGAGTATACAGATGAAAATTTATGAGTCTCGTAAATTAAGGTATTATTCACACGTCAAGATATTATTGGATATGGAATATTATGTTACAGCTTTCAGAAATAGAGACCATAGACGTATGATGTGCCTGTTGCGATTAAGTGAATTGCCTATACGGAGTAATCTGGGCAGAAGAGAGGATATTGATTCTTCACAACGCTTTTGTCGGCTATGTAACAATGGTTGTATTGAGGACGAAGTCCATTTTGTGTTTGTCTGCCCGTTTTACGCAACAATAAGACAAAAGTATATTCCTGTAAGATTCTATAACAATCCATGTATTAAGACTTTTAGTAATCTCTTAAATAGCAAAAATGACTGTATACTCAGAAATGTAGCTAAGTATGTGAAGGAAGCCCTATTATTACGTACCAAGTCCTAATATTATACCCTTAAGATTGTTTGCAATGTAAATTGTCTCAATTGTATATTACTATATATAACTGAAATGTACATGGGCCTATGGCCTCCCATACATGAATAAACACACTTTGATGTCTACGCCGTGTACCAAATTCGCCAGTGAACGTTTGTGCTGTGGCAGCAGAGTTGCAGAGAATATGGCAAGCCATTCCACAAGCCTTCCATGCCCATTTGATAGACTCTATGCGTCAGCGAAGCACAGCTGTATTCGCTGCTCCCGATGTGCATGTCCGTTATTGTTGCTCTATTACCCCTGTCCAGCATTTGGACTCTTATCGTCAATGTTATGGACATTAAACATGCTGTTCTGCCGTCTTCATATGATCTCAATATCCATCTTTTAAAATTTAAATGGAAACTTTTCTTTGTTGTTATATTTTCAAATTAGAAAGAATTTTAACAGTGCACAGTTTCTTTTTGTGGCGAGTATAAATAAATGCTCAGGCATTTAATCATGGAAATATGGTATATATCAACTTAGTAGTAGAGTCGTAAAAGTTTGCCGTAAAGGGATTTTGTGAAATTCATAATACATATATTTAGTTTTTTTCAGGTATAGATTTAGACACAACTGACCCTTGAAGATCCGGGGTAGAATAGGTCTTCAGCAACCCACGCTTGTCGTAAAAGGCGACTATTCTTGTCGTAAGAGGCGACTAACGGGATCGGGTGGTCAGGCTCGCTGACTTGGTTTCATGCATGTCATCATATCCCAATTGCCTGGATCGATGCTCATGATATCAATGACTGGATTGTCTGGTCCAGACTCGATTATTTACAGACCGCCGTCATATAGCTGGGATATTGCTGAGTGTGGCGTTAAGCAACAAACAAACAAACGAAACTAAGATCTGATATTAATGTAATTATACTTCGAGCCACTGCTAGGCAAACGTCCATGCTCGAACAATACCTTCCATGTTCTATTTTCTTAAAAATGTTTAAAAAAAAGACATCAACCAAAACATTATCAATAAGATCTCCAGGCTACAGAAACATGCATGAACATCGAAGGGAGTTGCGTACGTGTATGTACCAT